TCGGCGAAAGGGATCCCATAAAGTCTTCAAATCGATTTCAAGAAATCTATGTGCCGACCTCTAGATCTCGGCACAAAATTGAACCACAAGAAAAGTCCTTGGCAACAAGACGAGGATACCTCGGCGTCGGATTCAAAGTTCAGAATGTAGGCCGGCCTCTAGTCCTCGGCAAAGCAAGCCATTGACGAGTTCTCTGATGAATCACAACAAACTTATAACTTGGTGGAACAAAGGGAGAACTCGGCACAAAGGAGTCCTAGGCGGAAACAACCTTCTTACCAACTCTCGAATCTCGGCCATAGATCGATCTCGTCGTAGGCCAGAACCGGCGCCGACTACTACGCGAAGCACAATGATGCCGAGATGATGAATTGAGAATGATGCCGACTACTACGTAAGTACAACGATGCCAAGGTGACAAGATGGTGGATCCGAGATGGTGCCAATTAATGCACCAACATGACGACACCAAGGATCGAGATCGACAACAGGGTGAATCAAAATCAAGTTCAATCAGTCTCAACAAAACCCAATTTGCCGAACTCTCCGCGGACGAGTCCTCTTCTTTGCAACTGCTGAACATAGCTGACAACGATACCTCGGCAGTAGCTGGTCCCGACGAGCCCTTCACTTGAATCCTCTTTGTGCTTTAACCTTGGGAAATCTCGAACCCACTCCAAGTCTTGGTTACTCGAGTTCGAAATCATCACCAACATCACTACATCTCGGGAATAGGCAACTCGTCGCATCAATTCTGAAAGGAATAGGGATTTTACTAAGTATAAAAAATTGTCAAGTTAAGCATTCCAAAACATGTAAATTTGGCAATGACGGAATACGAAACGATACAAATCATAAACCACAAATTCATATAGCTTTTACATAACAAGTTTGAATTTATTCTGAAAACATTGTCGGGTTAAACATTTTCTGAAACATGTAAACTCGACAACTTTAGCAAGACGGCGAATTTCAATAAACACGAGTCTAGTTTAATCGGGAGAAAAATGAGAGTCAGGCTACGACGTTTACGGAGGCACGTTAGCTCGGCAAAATAACCGTGAACATGCTTTGACATAACGTCATTTTAACACGAAGCTAAGTTCAATGGCATCGACTTCGTCTTCGACTTTCTTTAACTTGGCAATCTCCTAACGAACATTACCAAGCTGGGGGGCTAATTGTTGCGGTCAAAACTAAGTATGGAAATGACACACCCATAAAATGACAGTTTTCTCCCATAAAATGGCTAAGTATGGAAACAGATAGAAATGAGATGGTGTCGAGTTCATTCTGGAGACCTAGATAACTTGTCGGAAATGACACACCCCACCTGTCGCTGGAGTATTATGCCGACTACTGCTGCTTCCTCCGACCATTGCACTACCAACCGCCTTATCTCCGCCGACGTCTCCCATTGCCGACTATTGCCTCGCCGATACAGCTATCTGGAGTGCTCGACAACTCGCCGACATCACTACTGGGAGTACTAGGCACTGGGCTGAGAATGGTTTTGCTTAGCCCATTTGATTCGTTACAAGGCATTAGGGCCGAGGACCATAAGTCCAAGATGGCGAGGTGGCGAGATGGCAAGACCAAGCCCAAGATGGCGAAGCCCATGGTAAGCGCCGGCTATGAGAAATGGAAAATCCCGAGGAATATGAAAAACTTCCTTATCTCTTATTTGTTAGACCTAGCCGACTTAGACTTGTATAAATACTCTTGTAATTCCTCGAAAGAGGGCATCCGCAGCTTGACGCACAAACACTGAGCAAAAATCAATAAAAGTTTTTTTAACGCAATTTCCGTGTTTTTGTCTTTGTTCAGATTGTTCTTGTGATTCTTTCCCAGAGATCTCGTTTCCCTTAAAAACCCTTGACAAATTCAATTGAGTTGGTTTCGACCTCCACAATCCCTTGAAAAAATAAAGAAACCTAGGTCGGCTTGAAGACTTTTGCAGCTCGTTCGCGGATATGGGCCGAGGTCCACGGTTCGGTTCCNAGGTTTGGCGAAGCCTATATAGCTTGCTCACAAAGATAAACCGTGGCCCACAGCTCAGTTCCGTTTTGGCCAGCGGCACGGTTCCGTTTCAACAAGACCAAAGCCCATTGATCGGTACTTCCGATCCCACTCTGTGGTTGCAGACCCGCCGAGCCCACCTTATCAGTTCAGTATTTCCGAGCCTCACGGCTGGTATGGGATGAAAGCTGAAGCCTATAGCTCATCGCT